CTCTCTCTCTCTCTCTCTCTCTCTCTCTCTCTCTCTCTCTCTCTCTCACACACACACACACACACACACACACACACACACACACAGACAGACACGCGCATGCACACACATGCACCAAAACAAGAGGGACGATTTCGCTTTCGAACCCCTCTCTCTCTCTCTCTCACACACAGACACACACACACAAAGACACGCGGGCACGCGTGCACCCAAACAACACGGAGCAATTGCTCTATGACTTCTTGACTCTCTCATGAAGGAAGAAGTTTCCCCAAGTCCATCCTCAATAAAGACTTTGCGCTTGATGGCAAACCCGAACAAACCTTCCTAGCCTAGACACCAATGAGGAGCAGGAGGAGGAGGTAAGAAAGAGAGGAAGGTGAGGGAAGAAGTAGGAGGGAAGGGAGGGAGGAGGAGGAGGGGGAGAAATATAGGAAAAAGGGGACGACGGAGATGAAGATGAGGAAGGCAGGAGGGAGGGCACAATGGAGGAGGAGAAGGAGAACAAAGAGGGTAAGAAGGGGAAAGAGGTGAGGAAGGGGAAGGAGGAGAGGAATTTGAGGGAGAAAGTGGCAGGGAGGGGAGGATGGAGAAGGGCCTGTTGAATGCACAGGAGACTGTACCCTCATCGGGCGAGCAAATGAGAAAAAGTGCTCCGAGGTCAGCGAGCTGAACTCGCAACACAAGGCGCACTCACAGACATCGTCTCCATGACGAGTAGGAGAACCATCAACCACCACTCCTGGTGAATGATGCTTCTAATCATCAAAGCAGTTGTGTCCGGGGCTCCACCTTCGGGATGATTGAATACATGACAGGGATTGTAGTTGCTGCTTCGCGCGGAGAATCTGCTGCAGGGAAAGTTGTGGCAGCTGCAAAGGGAATTTCAAAAGTCAACGCCTTGTACAGGCAGACATCGTCTTCTTGGCAGTAGTACACCTGTATGTACCGAAGACAGAGCATGAAAGATGCAAGCACAGGCAAGGTTAGACGGCTCAAAGAATGGAAAAAAAGAAAAAAGGGAAGGGGCGCACCGACAGGATGATCCCCACAAAGGACCTTGTAATGGGCCCTGGACCTCATTGTGAGCCCTCTCAGATGATTTATCCCAATATTGCTTGTAGTTTGTACTAGCATGAACGTCATTGGCTCTACGCGGGGCCCAGGTTCTGGCAGGTGCAGCTCCCCGACAATGAAGTGGAGCAATCCTGGGAAAAAAAGAAAAGAAACATAATGAAATGGTTGAGGGTTCTGAGCACTCGTAGGACCTCTGTGGCAGCCTATTGCATGAGTAGTTCCTTAATAGGTCATTAGATATTCATGATCCTCCCCATGCTTTCTGAATCATATCGTGTTCACAGACTGTTCTCAGTCGACGCCGGGTAATGGCCCCGGTATCTCAAATGATCTCAAATGTTCTCAATGATCTGTGCAATTCGATATGAGACGCTGGGCCCGGTTTTCCCAGCACGTGTTGTTCCCCCCAAATAGAACGGAGCACTCGTTTAAAAAAAAAAAAAAAAAAAAAAAAACTTCGCAGGACAGTTGCAGATCCCAGGGCTCGATCCCTGGACCTATCCCTGAACCCCTGTACAGCTACCCATTGACCCTGTGTGCCTTGAACCCATGACCTGCCCCCAGACACGTGCGTTTGGGTTTCATGTGCATAACGGGGTCGCGTGGACTCGAACCATAGCCCTTAGTTTTAGTAGTCCTAGGGTCAGTCTTATAGGTTAGCCCTAAGTGTAGCGACCGGTCAGTCAACGTAGATGTCCGCCTACGGTTCAAGTCCACGCGACCCCATTATGCACACTGCATGAAACGCAAACACACGTGTCTGGGGACAGGTCACGCAGACGCAGCCTTCAATCAGCTGCTGTTGGACAGCAGGTTCATCTGCAATGAAGAAGGAGACCATGTTTCATGGCGAGGTAGGCGTGGCGCATACGGATGGAAGAGGGCAGAGCGGGGGATCTACAAGGTGGGCCATTTGTGGGATGAGGCACGCAGGGACTGGTGTGCAGATACTAGATAGTGAGATGATGGCTGCCTTATTGGGAAAGCAAGAAGGATGCAAAGGGTGACGGAGTAGAGAGAGGCCATCCCCTTACAATGGACTGACCTGCTGAGAAAAAAGACAAGGTGGCTCCGACTTGACATGCCACGCCGGTTGTCCGGTATCTGTAGGGGTTCACCCATCCCTTATTGGGAATCGGGTAAGTATAAAGGGAAGGGAATTACTAGGGCCAGAGATGGTATCTGTAGGGGTTCACCCATCCGGGCCATCCCTCAGACCCCGTCTTGACCTGCCACGCCGGTTGTCTGGTAGGTTCTGTTCCACTCCGACACTGCGACAATCGTCTAAAAGCAAAAAAGGAATGTGATGGAAACTGTGGCGGTATGTGAAGGAGGGACCAAGGGAGAAAGCATATATTACCCATATAGGCTGGTGCGCAGAAGGCGAGATCTGACATGGGACCCGTGGGACTGGGAGTGGCCACCTCAGAATATGCACAGAAGACGACACCGCTGCAGCAAGTGACAACAAAGAACATCTACAACTCCTTGCTACAACCGCGAACTCGAGAACCGGTGGGCCAAGAGAGACTGGCTCCCCGACGCCTGCTTCAATAGATGGACACAGCGCAAGTGGAATGAGCAAACTGCGCCATAATTGCAGCCTTGCCAGATCGAAAACAAGCCGGCCTGCTGTGGCAAATCTACCACCTGGCTATCCCAACCGCGCAATGGCTAGCAACCAAAAGCCGGCACAAAGATCGGGCAGGCATGGAGTGTGTGCAGGTGGAGACTATGCCCCACCTGTTTGTGCGGTGCCCTGTGGCTCGTGCCCTCTGGAATTGGTGGGCGCAGGAGACGGCAGAATACACACCGATGCAAGTGACGGCAGCGGATGATGCGGTCATCCTCATGGGAGCATTAACGAGGGCGAAGAGATCAGAACCTGAGGATCTCATGGTGATGGAGATTGTGAGAGCAGCAACGTTATGGGCCATCTGGACCCTGAGGATCGGACACTGTAGACAGGGCAAGGCGTACCAGGAACAGGTATCGGAAAACCTTAGAGTGGCCCTTCAGGCGGACTTCCGCCGCTGCGAGCGAACGGGGGGGGGGGGGGGGGGGGGGGGGGGGGGGGGGGGGGAGGAGGGGAGGAGGAAGGGGGTAAAGGGGGGAGCAAATTTTCGAAAAGATGGGGCCCGTACCTGCAGTTGCTGACTCCAGACCGTCAGACCGGTCGTATCTCGTTTGGACATTTAAGGAAGACATGCCACTCGGAAACTGCCTTCTTCCCCGAATACAACGTACGGTCTTTCTATAATACAGCTACTAATTTCCCCGAAACTGATGTGCAATTAGTTATTTCAATAAGCCATAGGACAGCTGTATTATAGAAAGAGGTAGGGAGGATAAGGCAGTAGGACTACTAGGAAGTAAAACTACCTTCTTCCCCCAAATACAACGTACGGTCATTATAGCTGTATTTGAGGCATCTTTCAGTCTAGATACAGTTATAATGACCGTACGTTGTATTCGGGGGAAGACGGTAGGACGGGAGGAAATTAGTAGCTGTATTATAGAAAGAGGTAGGAAGGATAGGGTTAGAAGGAGTTAATTGTTTGTTGGGGGGGGAGGGGAGGGGGGCGGAGCGCGGGTGAGAGAGAGGGGAGTAAAAACTGGAAAAGCTGGGGTATGACAAAGAGAGAAAGTAAAAAGAGATGGCGAGTGTGTATAATGGAATCGAGGGATACAAGGTAGGAAGGTAATGGTATACAAAGTGCTAATAACGGGGAAGGTGGGCAAATGAAGATGGAGTGATAGAGATAATAAAGGTAATAAGGAAACCCGTAACTTGGGGAATGTCTGAGGCAGTGAACAGGAAAACGAAGAAGGGACTAATTTTCAATAAGCAGAAGATCCTAAGATAGGCAAGCTACCTTCTTCCCCCAAATACAACGTACGGTGATTATAGCTGTGTATCTAGACAGAAAGATGCCTCAAATACAGTAACGGTCTATGGTATGGGGGAAGAGGGGCCTTTGGGCAGCCCCCCCCCCCCCTTGGGTGAACAGCTAGAGGTACAAGGATGGCTGATACTTTTTTTTCTTCTTTGGACCAAATTTTCTCTCTTTCTGTATAAACATGCTTGCCAGAGATAAGCAACCGGACTGACGCCCCCCCCCCAGAATAGAAGGGGCATGTGTGTTGAAAAAGGAAAATGGCCAGGTTCACGCTTTCTTAGGACAAACGTAGCACCAGCGGGACCGGCGCATACAAAAGTGCCACCATGTTCTCTCTATTCATTTCACAATGTTTTGGTACCTCCCCCAGCAGATGTGTTCAAGAGCCAAAAACTGACCTTGCAGTTGATGCGAGTCATCGACTCGGCAGCATCCGTCTTGGTGGAATCGTTGGCACCTCTGCTTTCGAATGCCAGCGAAGCCGATGCAGAAAAGCCACTTGTGACCAACTCTCCACTCACAGGCTGGATGATAACATCTTCAGCATCCGCATCGACTTCATACTTGCTGGTCGCACCCTGTGCACACCATCCACCGTCGCAAACAGGTCCCCAACAAGGTTACCAAGACCAAGTCAACGCCATTCGAATTTCAAAAGCAACTTCACAAACCAGGTCATGGAACATCACCTAGTAAACTAGAATTAGAAATATAAACTAGAATTAGAAAGTTCTCTTAATTGAATGAGAATATATGAATATGAATCAAATCAATATGAATATGAATCAAATTTAAAATAKAGGCTATCTTCTTTTCAAATTCTTCTTTATTCTCTAAATAGTTCTATAAGAATCAATTAAATAGAGAATCTAATTGAATTCACAATAAAAATGATATTGTTAAAATTAATTGTGATATGATAAATTATAGAAAAATTTAAAATAAATCAATCCAATGTAATAAATGGTGAAATTATACCTTCGTCAACCGTCAACTTCCCGGACTAACCAAGAAACGACCTTCTTGTCTTTATAAACTCTTGTCTTTATAAACGGGTCACAAGACATAGCAGAGTGCATCTTTGCCAATCGCCCAAACTTACCAAGCGACGACCCTTCTGCATTGTCTTCTTTCTTCTTCCGTACTCTTACTTTCTCCTGCTTCCTCCTCCTCCTCCTCCTCCTCCTGCTGCTGCTGCTGCTCCTCCTCCTCCACTATCATCACCACTACCTCTTCCTCCTTTGCAAGATGCCTGGTTGGACCTGTAGACCAGTGTCTCGCTTGAACCGGCCTCCTCGACTAGAGCTCTGGTCTATTGCCGACCAGACGAGTATTTTGGAACATCCGGCCGGGGGGGACCAAGAGGCCACACAATCCAGGGCTGTAATGACTCCTTGCCACAACTATGTACTGGTGTTGCGCACGTGGTCTTGTCCGCAGCATCAATTCTCACTTGCATCATTTTACATATTGGTGCCTCAGCACACCCTAACCCTTTCTTTCCTTCCTACTCAACTCATCTCTCCTTTCCCTGCACAAGAGAGAGAGATCGAGAGGTGCCTCGTGAGAGAGCGAGCGAGAGTGCCACGTGAGAGAGTGAGAGAGAGGTGCCACGTGTGTGTGTGCTGTCTCTTATACACATCTAGATGTGTATAAGAGACAGGCAAAGGGGCTTAAAAAAAAAAAAAAAAAAAAAAAAAAGCTGGGTGAGAATGAAACACTGTTTATGAAACAGGAACTTGCCTTCGTGAAGTGGTATCCTTGTGGAATGGATATCTTCAATGCCAGCTGCCCCTTTGTCGTCTCAACTGTGGCCACGCGGACAACCTCGGTATCTGGTCTTGACTTCGTACTTCCTCTCCTTCTCCTTTTTCCAGGAGAGGAGGGCGCTTCAGGAGATGGAAGGGGTACAGATTTCAACTCAAGTGTATCGATGCGGCCATTCTCTGCCATGTCAAGCACCCTGATGACATTGTTGTTTGTGTCTGCTATAAATATCTTTCCTGCGATCAAAGTTCATCAAACCAAGGAAGGAGACAGGATATATATGCAAACATTTCGCCAAATCCATCAGACCGAAAAAAAGGGTGGGAACGCTGGTAAAGTACTACCAAAGACATTGGCAGCTCATTTATCGCCATTTAGTGTCATTTTAGGATCTTCCAATCTTTTTTTTTTTTTTTTT